ATATATATATATATATATATATATATATATATATATATATATATATATATTACATATAAAAAAAATAAAAAATAAAAAAACATTATTCCGGACCGGACCCGGGCCGACGGTCTTTTTGACCACCCTTAAAGCCTGTGCACTGTACGGGTAAATAACTAGCATATATTTATATATTTTGTTGTCGAGGTGGGGTAGCTGGGTCCAATTTCCTCTGAGGATTTTCTTGGAAACGGTGAAGAAGCTGCGCGGTAGACAACCGAGTCTGACGTCACCACAGTGACGTCATGTGCCACTTGTCTAAATCTCATCCTTCCACCTTCTCCTCTTTATCTCGTGCCCACATATAATTCCTGCTATAGATAGTAACTTATTACAAGTGGTTGTGGGTTAAATAATAATAATTATTATTCATCTCTATCAAATTTTCTCCCAAAATACACTTATCAACTCTATTCTGTCACTTCTCACGGCAGCAACTCCACCTCCACCTTCTTCTTCAATGTATGAGTCTCTCTCTCTCTCTCTCTCTCTCTCTCTCTCTCTCTCTCTCTCGCTCCGTTGTATATTTGCAAGCTATTTATATTTTCTTGTTTATTGCCATGTGTGAGTGAGACATAATTCAGTTCATGAGATCTAGGATACACATATAGTTATTTATATATATGGCATTTTTGCTTTCTCATCATACTCTAATTCGTCTATCTTGAGCTCACTCTTTTTGAGTAACATTTTAGCTAGTTTTGTAATCGTAAATTTTATGAATAAAATATTTTATCCTCTTTAGATTTTTGATACTGGATTGTTTCTGGGAGGGTTAACTGAGGCACTATAAATTGTTGTAAATCAATATTTTAGTATGAGATTTTTTTTTCACATGATCCAAAATGGTATTACAACCATCCACTAATTAATGATATTTGTCTTTTATAAAAAGATTTTCATATAGAGGATCCGTGTATTTTGGTGTTATAGTTAAACTGGTGCTCTTTATTTAATATTATGAATTCTTCTAATAATTTTCTCAAAGTGACATGTTGGCATATAATTTTTTTCTGGTACCACATTGGTATATTTTCTTTACTCCGGCGACAAATAGGTCTTAAATAGACCTAACTTAAGGCCTATTTGTCGCCGGAGTAAAGAAAATATACCAATGTGGTACCGGAAACAAATTATATGTCAACCTATCACTAAGGGTAAACAAAATATACCAATTTTGTCATTTTGCCTATAGAGGATCCGTGTATTTTGATAATCTTATAGTTAAACTGGTGCTCTTTATTTAATATTATGAATTCTTCTAATAATTTTATTGGATCTTAGGATCTAGCAATAACACTTTATAATAAAATCTTCGTTCCAACATTTTAGGATAGATCATATGATTTTCATGTTCATTCATTTCTGTAAAAGGATTTTACAATGCTTTGTAAAAAAAAACCCAATTTAATTCAGTCAAATAATGATTATTATATGTTATTGTTTTGATCCAAGTTTTTCAGCTAGCTAAAGGGCACTTATGATCTCTATATATCTTTAATAACAAAGAATATGTAATTGCATACCCATTAGTTATACCCAAATTTCTTTGAAAAATATTTCCATAAAAAGATATGAGACTTAAAATATACCATTTTGCAAGAGCATGTGTAAAGAGTATGGTGGTAAACCGAATCCATACCCGAGGAAATATCTATAATCGTATTTGTTAGAGTACGAATATGGTTAATTAGACCAATCTATAATTGATAGGATATGGTTACATATATGGTTTTATAGTGAAATATATGAATCTGTATCCGAAATATCTAAATGTATATATAGAACATAGAGCTACAATAGTTTCAATCTTTAGATTAATGAATTTGAGACTAATTTTGATAATGATCAATAGTTACAATCTTAGCTTTTCAGATATAACAAACATATTAATGAATTCTCTTGTACCATTTGAATTATTTTTTTCAATATTATTTTGTTTTCTCATATCCATTTTGTATCTACATGTATATCCGCATATATAGGCGTATCCGATTTCAATTTCAGTAGATATATGGATATGATTTTTCCTTATCGATGCATATCCATATATGTATTCGTATCCGAGAACAAGAAGCGGATATGTATATGATAAGTATCATACCTGACTTGTATTGGAACCATTTCCACCCCTAGTAAAAAAGCCAATTGATGAAAGATCACAGGTATAAAAGTATCAATAGGTTTGTTTAAAATGCGGTCTAATGAAGATGAAATCATAAAAGTTTTGTTCGGTTCAACACAGAAAATACGTAAAATATATAATTTTCTTATAGGGAAGGAGTACAAGATGTTCAAGGAGAAGATCAAGCATCAAGATCTGATGGAAGCCAAATAACAATGCCAGAAGATGGTCATCAGTGGAAGAAATATGGGCAAAAATATATCGTAAGAATAAGCAAAAACAGGTAGTTACATATATTAAGAACTTAATTTGAAAATGAAATAGTTGAAGTGCTTTAAAATGACTGAAAAGATATTTATTTTCTTTTAATTTTTCCATGTGTTACGTGCATGTAGGAGCTATTTCAAGTGCCGAAGGAGCAATTGCAGAGTAAAGAAGAAAGTAGAATGGCCTCCTAATGATCCTAGCAACATGAGGATTGTGTATGAGGGAGCTCACAATCATCCACCTCTATCATCCTCTTCGGATCCGGATGCTTCTGGCTCGAACCCGGATCCAAACCCGTATGAATTGAGAGCTCAAATGTTTGGGCAACCGAATGAATGAACGCTCATACGATTGAGATACACCCCATATTGCAATCATTATGAGTTTTTTTTTTTAAATTAGATCAATGCCTGGTTAAAATTTTGCTATGTGATCTTCATGTACGAGAGTAAAATGGATATTTTATTGGCTCTTGGTTTTTGGAGCACACCAAGAACCATGCTATAATAATGTCTGGATTGAGCTTTTTTCTCTTTGAGGGAGAAACTTCAACTCTTATAGTGTTTTAGATGGTGAAGTTAATTGGTTTAATTAGTTAATGAAAGTTTAATTTTTGGTATATTTCTTAGTTTGCATCCATTTTTGTCAAACTTTATCTAGAGTTTTAAACGAAATTAATGTGCATATCAGCCGCCGTACGTTTTGAAAATAATATGAACATATCAACTCTATCCATAATACGAAGAGCTTTGCTACAGTGACTCAAAATATGGGACCAATAGAGGGGACAAGTGAGGTGTCCCCCTCCTATTGGATAATGAGTTGACCATCATTAATGATGACCAACTCATTATCCAATAGGAGGAGAGCTTTGCTACAGGGACCCAAAATATGGGACCAATAAAAGGGACAAGTGAGGTGTCCCCCTCCTATTGGATAATGAGTTGACCATCATTAATGATGATCAATTCATTATCCAATAGGAGGGGAACACCTCACTTGTCCCCCCTATTGATCCCATATTTTGGGTCCTTGAAGAATTTTTCATAGGGGGGGACACCTCACTTGTCCCCCCTATTGGTCCCATATTTTAGGTCCTTGGAGAATTTTTCTAATACGAAAATAGAAAGGAGAAATTTTTTTTTGCAATATTTGCTGTTTGAGCTGTAGTAGTAATCATTAAGGTTCACTGCATTATGCACGTACCATAGGTTTTTTTTTAAGTACCACCTTTTTAATTAATCTTGACATGACTATAATGGGTAAGTACAGTTTTTTAAATCTTTTTTGGTTATTTTTACAATATATATGGAAGTTTCCATAATACGTTCAATTTAATTAGTTATGATAATCTGAATGTGGAGAAGTTTGTGCACATCTATTTTTGGTTGGAAATTGTAGCTGTCATTCATGAGAAAAGTATATATTCTCCAAGACTTCTTAAAGACCTTTAAAAGTTTCAATGACCACGAGCCTTGACTTTCTTAGAATTTCTACGAAGAAAGAAAGTTTGGTAAGCAACCAAAATAACGCCTCTTGATGCATCGATAGAAAGTAACTAGTTTCAAACCCGTGCAATGCACGGGAATTAGCAAAAAAGAAATAAATTTCCCACAGAAACATCTTATTTGAATGCAGAATCGTCATATATATTTAAGACATGAAATTTCAAAGGGAAAAATGCTTCCAGCCCCCAAAAGCCAAGTGAACATGCTTCCCACCCCCAGGACTTGATCAATGGGCGTTTTACCCCTAAAAATAAAGAATCTGTTCTCTGAGCCCCCAAAACACAAAACCCAAGACATTAAAACATGTGAAGACCATAATACCCTTCTCTCTCTCTTTCTTTTTTTATTAAAATATGATGGGGATTATTTTATTATTTTTATTTTCTCTCTCTCTTTATTATGATGTACCAAGAGGATAGTTGAAATGATTGATGATGATTATTTTATTATTTTCGTTTTTTATTATTTTGGTTGTTTGTATTGGGAGGTTGTTAAAGTTACGGGTTGATTGTTAAGGTTACGGGTTGGTTGTTAAGGTTAAGGGTTTGTTGTTAAGGTTATGAATCCTCTCTCTCTCTCTTTCTTTTTTTATTAAAATATGATGGGGATTATTTTATTATTTTTGTTTTCTCTCTCTCTTTATCATGATGTACCAAGAGGATAGTTGAAATGATTGATGATGATTATTTTATTATTTTCGTTTTTTATTATTTTGGTTGTTTGTATTGGGAGGTTGTTAAAGTTACGGGTTGATTGTTAAGGTTACGGGTTGGTTGTTAAGGTTAAGGGTTTGTTGTTAAGGTTGTGAATCCTCTCTCTCTCTTTCTTTTTTTATTAAAATATGATGGGGATTATTTTATTATTTTTGTTTTCTCTCTCTCTCTTTATCATGATGTACCAAGAGGATAGTTGAAATGATTGATGAGGATTATTTTATTATTTTCGTTTTTTATTATTTTGGTTGTTTGTATTGGGAGGTTGTTAAAGTTACGGGTTGATTGTTAAGGTTACGGGTTGGTTGTTAAGGTTAAGGGTTTGTTGTTAAGGTTATGAATCCTCTCTCTCTCTCTTTCTTTTTTTATTAAAATATGATGGGGATTATTTTATTATTTTTGTTTTCTCTCTCTCTTTATCATGATGTACCAAGAGGATAGTTGAAATGATTGATGATGATTATTTTATTATTTTCGTTTTTTATTATTTTGGTTGTTTGTATTGGGAGGTTGTTAAAGTTACGGGTTGATTGTTAAGGTTACGGGTTGGTTGTTAAGGTTAAGGGTTTGTTGTTAAGGTTATGAATCCTCTCTCTCTCTCTTTCTTTTTTTATTAAAATATGATGGGGATTATTTTATTATTTTTGTTTTCTCTCTCTCTTTATCATGATGTACCAAGAGGATAGTTGAAATGATTGATGAGGATTATTTTATTATTTTCGTTTTTTATTATTTTGGTTGTTTGTATTGGGAGGTTGTTAAAGTTACGGGTTGATTGTTAAGGTTACGGGTTGGTTGTTAAGGTTAAGGGTTTGTTGTTAAGGTTATGAATCCTCTCTCTCTCTCTTTCTTTTTTTATTAAAATATGATGGGGATTATTTTATTATTTTTGTTTTCTCTCTCTCTTTATCATGATGTACCAAGAGGATAGTTGAAATGATTGATGAGGATTATTTTATTATTTTTGTTTTTTATTATTTTGGTTGTTTGTATTGGGAGGTTGTTAAAGTTACGGGTTGATTGTTAAGGTTACGGGTTGGTTGTTAAGGTTAAGGGTTTGTTAATCTCCATCATATTTTAATAAAAAAAGAAAGAGAGAGAGAGAGGATTCATAACCTTAACAACAAACCCTTAACCTTAACAACCAACCCGTAACCTTAACAATCAACCCGTAACTTTAACAACCTCCCAATACAAACAACGAAAATAATAAAAAACAAAAATAATAAAATAACCCTCATCAATCATTTCAACTATCCTCTTGGTACATCATGATAAAGAGAGAGAGAAAATAAAAATAATAAAATAATCATCATCATATTTTAATAAAAAAAGAAAGAGAGAGAGAAGGGTATTGTGGTCTTCACATGTTTTAATGTCTTGGGTTTTGTGTTTTGGGGGCTCAGAGAACAAAATCTTTATTTTTAGGGGTAAAACACCCATTGACCAAGTCTTGGGGGTGGGAAGCACGTTCATTTGGCTTTTGGGGGCTGGAAGCATTTTTCCCAATTTCAAAACTGAAAACAAATAAAAAACTAAGCAAACAATCATATGATGACCATCTTAGATCTTTTCTAAAAAAGAGCATAAGGGGTTGTTTAGCTCGATTTCTATTAAAAGAAAGAGAAAATAGTACCCAAAAATTGATTTCTATATGTTTCTATAAAAATTTGTAGAAAAAGTTTATAGAAATTCAAAAGATGTTGTTTTCTTTTTTTTTTAACTTTTTCTGTGTTTGGTTCAAAATATAAAAAGAGGAAAATCAACTTTATAGAAAATGAGTCGAGAAGTGGAAAGGGGTGAGTTATGTATAAAAGATTATTTAATTTAATGCGTCAGATTTCTATGCAATTTCTGCCTATATGGATAAGAAATTAATTTCTATAAAATACCCCCCCTTTCATTACTTTATATAAAATATTTGTATAAATTTTGAGTGAACCAAACAGAGTTTAAAGAAGCCTACATAAAACTATTATTTATGAAAATGTCATTGTCTGGTATTTTCTCAAAACTTTTCTATAAAACACCTAAACCAAACCGCCACTAACAGAAACTTGACAAAGGTTTATGACCTTGAACAGGAAGGACAATATTATATAGCAAAGAAAAAGGAGTACATCTTATTATAAAGACACTTTCTCTATCGTAGAATACTCTTGCACCTTAAACCTAATCAATATTATTGCAAAAAAATTATAAATTGCACATTTAAAACCACCAATACTTTCATAAAACCCCCCAATACTTTATTTTTCCCATTAAATAGCAAAAATTTCTCACACAACAACCCTTAAAGTGACGAAAAGCCCCTAAGAACAAGAAAATTATTTATTTTCGTTTTAATAAAATTCTTTTAAAAAACATGGTTCGTTTTAATAAAATTCTTCGTGAAAATAAACCTTCACATTAGACAGTTGAAATAAACCTGCCCCCTCTCTCTCTCTTCTCTCTCTCTCTCTCTCTCTCTCTCTCTCTCTCTCTCTCTCCCCCCTAAATCTTTTTTTAGGCGAAAGAATATTATAAAGGATAAAAAGGATTTACTTGCTTGAAGGGTATTTTCGTCATTATTTGAGATTTATGTGAGAAAATAATATTGTGTTATGTGGGGGTGGGAAAAACAAAGTATTAAAGGTTTTGTGGTAAACACTCCAAAGTAATGGTGTTTAATGTGAAATTTTCACCAAATCTCATTAAATAAGATATTGAATAGCCACTGCACTGTTTCAAAAAAAAAATTTAACTTGAACAATCAGATTTATGTTATGCAATGTGGTAGCACAACTCATACAAAGAATAATTTAGATATACAATAAAATTCTGATTGCTCTTTCAGTTATGCTTTTGGACTGTTTTTGTATATCTTTCAATTTTCAGCAATTTGTTACCTTTCTTTGTTGATTATAGAATGTTTAATTTCTGCTAAGTATATGTATAGATGGCTTTGGTTCTTGCTTAAATCTATGTCAACGATGAATAACAACAAGGCCCTCTCTTCATCTTCATGGATTTTTGTAAGAAGAAGGTTATACATCACTATTAGTAGAAATTCTATATTCTATCCTTCAACATTGGGACACAATTCGTGTCCTTGTTTTTTGTAATTACATGATACTTTGATACTTTTGGTTTTTAATGAACAGGGATTATCCCTTGTTTTTTTTATCAAAAAAAATTTCGGATTGCTCTACTTGACAATCTCCAACAGCTCAACATCCAAGTATCTCATTGGTTATTCGATCAGACTCAAGGGTGTGTTTGGCAACCTATCAAAAACTAGGTCAGGATCAATCCTGGTCTAGTTGTATCTTAAA